GTAACAGTTGAATAATGAGGACTGTGAAAATGTTGAGAAATAAGAACATCTCTGATGGAGTATTTACAGAGGGAGAAAATAATAATTCTGAAGTATCAAAATGAGGGCTTGATGCAACAATAAAAAAACCCATAAAACTACACCTAATGCAATCCAGGTGTATTAATCATTATGGAGAAGAGTTCAAGATGTATGATAGCTATAGCGGTGACTGCACTTGTATATTCTGTTAAGATACAGGCTCAGAAAGAAGATTGCTATTAAATCTTCAAGTTAGAAGGCACATGTTTTAGTATAGCACTCCTTGTGTCCTTCCCCTTTCGATGAGTATGAAATGTGGTTTAAAAAGTACCAGTAGATCTCAGAAAAACTGTTTCATACCAAAGATTCTCTCAACCAGGCTATGAAGTAAGGGACACAAAAAAGATAAAAAAAATCTGCTTCTGTTTATGGGGAGAAATATTTCCCCATAATTATGACCATTAATTTTCCCTACTACTAATCTGGGTCAGATGATGTTGTTTAGCCACTAGTCCATGATAAAGCCTATGCAGAGGCACATTGCCCAGAAATGAGATACTGAGGTTTGTCATAGAAACAGATTGATGAAACACTGATATTTTTATAGGAATTAAAAATATATATAAACAATTGATTGAAACACTCTAAAATATTTTTAAAGAGCATTGAAAATTCAAACCTAACATTTTTATGTTCAAAATCCCCCCCTCCCCAAACTGATTTTTTGGGGAGGAGGGTTGTGTCCTTTCCTTTCCTTTTTTTTATATGATCAGTGGGAATAGACAAAGGAGGTGTAACCTACTGGCATCTGTTAAAAAATAGTTTGACTCTTTTTAGCATGCTCTCTTATAACCATGTTCCTTGATGTTTCTTAATTGGAGCCTAAAGTCAGAGAGAAACTTTTCAGACATGTTGTATTTATTTACTATTAAGGACAGACTTAAAAGCCTGACCTCTAATGGCTGTAATGTGTAAATAATGGCTTCAGTACCTGCTGTTGTTCTGCAGTGGGAGTCAGGGATGAGAGAGGTGACTACTGTGCTAACCATGTCCAGAAGCAGTGCATGGAAGAGGTTGCATAGTGGGGTGTAGAATAAGCTCTTCCCCACTCAGTTGGTCAACATCTCAACAGGCTACCTACCAAGAGCAGTATCTTCTTCTCTTTATTTGATGGTCAGGAGAAATAAATAACTAGTTAAAGTGTGCCCTTTGTCCTGTAACACCTGGGACCCTGTTTCCAAGTGCATCGGTTACAGTATTTCTAGCTCTTACCAGTCTCTACTTTGAAGAGCAGATTGAATGTGTAGTGAAGGGAGAGAGCCACAAATGCAGTTTTGACTCCTAAAACCTGGAGTTTTTATTCCTGGAAGCTTCTGTAATTCTTCCTTTGGAAAATAGCACCAGCTTCTGAAAATATCAAGGGCTTAGAGTCAAAATAGCAGCCTCAAACAAGTGCCCATCAAAGACCTGCAGCACTGAAGTCAGTTGGAGCTTTGCCATTGTTTTCAATGGGTGCAACGAAGACCTGAGAAAAGGCCCCTTCCTGTAACAGACTAGAAAAGTATTAGGGAAAACAACAAACCCAACTGATTTTCCAGAGCAGAAGCTACTTCCTTTTTACCAGGCAGTTTGCATTTTGAATCTAACACATCCCATATATAGATGACAGCAAGTATTATTTTAGAATACACTATGCAAGCATCCATGAAAGCACCAAGAAAAGAGTTTACACAAACTTCTCAGTTTGCCTGAGCCATGCAGTCCTTTATTAATGACACTGTCAAACTTTGTATTGTGCTAAGATTGGAGAGGGGAAGCTTCATCCTCACTGAACCAATAAAAGTTTATTACATACATATGAATTCTCTGAGTTAGAAGCAGGATTCTTGGATCTCTTACAAAGAACGTGTCATGTTTCATCTTTGGTGGCGGGAGAGGGGGGTTTATGGGATGCCTGCATGAAGCCACAAAACTCCACAAAGTCCTTTTCACTAAACATCATGCAAACAGAATCCTGGTCTCTTTCAGAAACACATTGCAAGATCTTAGTTCAGAATAAGGAGTTCTTTAGTGGAAACTACAGTAGATATTCCAAACCAGCAATAACAACTAATTTTAATATCCCATAAGTTTAAGGGCAGGTTATTGGCAGCTTGGGTGAAGGGCATGATGGGGTTGGCCATATTCATAATGGGCAAGATTTAAAATCTAATTTCCGTTTAGGCATCAAAACAAGTGTGCACATTTTGAAAAGACTTGGTGCTAAACTCATTTGAAAATTAGGCCATAAATGTCACAGTGAGAGCTTCTGGATACAGCTTAGAATCCTGTTCAAATCAAAATACTTCGCAGTCAGACTGATTTCACTGGAATTAAATTTTATAGGAAAACTATGGGAGGGAAGTTTTTTTCGGTATTCTCCTTTGTGGGGAATTGGTATATCAAGCATCTCATATACCACTGCTGATTTTATTGGGCTTTTATGTTAATATGGAGAGTTTTATCTGTGAACAATGTCACTTTCTTCTGAAAGCTTGTTACAAATGCTATGCTTTTATTTACATAGGGATGCAGCCACCTCTGCAGCAAACTGACACACCTGCATAAGAACACACAGCAGCTTTAGGGAAGAAAGTCAGAATGAAGAGGGCTTTTTGGGTATGCAGACTGAAATCTCGAAAACCACATTATGATTCAAATCATGGGAAACATTGCAATCCCATGTCAAATGTACCATGAGATCTTTTCCCCTAGCAAGCTGTTTTGGAAAGATGGTCAACGTTGGGGAATGTTGTGATATAATATAACACAATCTAATTAATTAACGCATTTAGTTTTTTTTATAAACTAGTTTAGGGACAAATTACCCTTACTCATGTAAGTGGCATCTTTCTGCGCTCCTGGGCTCATTGACTGCAATGAGATCACTCTTAAGCGTCAATTTTCATGAAACAAGGGTATCAGAGTCTGGTCTTCGATCAGTTTGGGTATGTCTACACTAGCTCATTAATTTGAGCTAGGTAGGCAAATCAGGCAACCGGAGTTGCAAATGAAGCCCGGGACTTAGTTTGGATTAACTTTAAACTGCCGCATATAGCCACGGGCAGTTAATTCGAACTAAGAGGGATTTAAAAATGGCGGCCAGACGGGAACATGCAAATAAAGCCCGGGATATTTAAATCCCGGGCTTCATTTGCAACTCCGGTTGCCTGATTTGCCTGCCTAGCTCGAATTAAAGAGCCAGTGTAGACATACCCTTAGAGCTTTGAATACCCCACTAAATACCCCACTAAGAAGAGTGCCTGGGTTGTGAGTAACTATAAGGGGCTGCAGGGGAAGGAATCTTCTCTGATCTAGATCAGATAAGTTGTGCCCCATGGAGGTTACTTCAGCTCCACAACTAATGCAGAGAGCCCTGGCCCGAACACTCGCCCCCGCACCTCCCACTGCTGACACCTGGAAGACCAGAACAAATGTTCTAGTTCTGCCACTAGGCACAACCACCGTAACCCTGTCATCAGCCAACCCCTGACTGATAATTCAAAGCTCCCAACTGAGTAGGCACACATGATTTTTATATCCTCTGAATAGCCACTTCCAAATAAAGTTCCCTTTTTGTGCAGGGACACCATACTAGTTCCAATGGCAGGAAGGTCCCCATGACTTCCAGAATTTACCCTGATTACAAATCAAATAATGTCAATAATCATGAGTAACTGTAATAGAAAGTATAGTTTTCTTGAAGTATTTGGAGGAAAAATGCATATAATGTGCTTATATGAGCCTATTCCTATCTCGTCCTATTTTCTCTGCCCCTATATGTATGGGGCATGGCACATCTCTCAGACTGCACATTAACCAACTCTCAAGTCTCATAAAATCCACACACTGAACAAAATTATTTGTTTCACCCATGTGGCATAGTAGAGAATTGATGATCTTGTTATTAAAGCACTAGCAGAGGACTCTGGAGATCTGCGTTCAGTTCCTAGTTCTGCCATAGGCTTTCTGGATAACCTTGGGTGAATTATGCAATCTTTGTGTGCCTCTGATCTCCATCTCTGAAATAGAAATACTAATAATTTCTTTATCTGTCTTATCAGGATTTAGTTGGTGTTGGTTGTGCTTTGAGTAGGGGGCTGGAGTAGATGACATCCTGAGGTCCTTTCCAATCCTAATCTTCTATGATTCTGTCTCTTTAAACTACAAGCTGCTGGAGGCAGGGATGGTCTTTTACTGTGGGTACATACAGCAGTTAGCGCAAATGGCCTCCAATCCCAATTGGGGTTTCTAGTTGTGTGAGTGTCAGGAAGAACAAATAATCTATAACTATGGTGAGGATGCCCATATCCCACAGTTTTATGCTCAACTGTGGCCAAGTACATGGCACTTGGCCATGCATGTCCTCATTTAAAGCACTTCGTTACTGATATGAAGGCTCGTTCTGCTGAGTTTCTGTTGCTGCCATTTAAGTAAATGGGAGTGAAAGATGTTTGGCATCTGACAGATTTGACTCAGAGACAGGAAATACTCAGAGACAAGAATTGTTCAGCCAGGTTTAAAAACCAGGCCCTGAATTATTTTCTCTTTCATGATTAGCAGGGCCAACAGCCACAGCAGCTCCCCCAGCAAGGCTCTGTGCTCCTAGAAGGGGCAGCCATCCCCCAGTGCCACCTGGAGTGTGGTACCTCCCCCCTCCACAGCCCTCATTGCTGTGAAGAGTGCTCAGCACGGTGTTCTTATAGCAATTTAAAGGGCCCAGGACTCCAGCTGCTGCAGCAGCAGCTGGGACCCATTGACCCCTTTGTATGTCTGGGCCCTGGGGCAATTGCCCCCTTTGTTCGTCTCGTCTATGGCCCTGTCCATGATTTCTTTAAAATGTGACCAGAAACAATACAACTCTTCTCTTATTTGATGAGAGACAATGCTTATATATATCTACCTTTATTATTTATATATATATACATATATCTACACACACACACACACACTGGATTTAAAGGGTTTTTTCCCCTTAAAAAGGAGCATTTTGAATTTCCAACCATCAAAGTCAAGAGTACAAACATCACGACAAACTATGTTTGTAATAAAATATTCTGTAGACAGTAATAAAGGTACACATTGCATAACTCTTTAGCTTAGACATGACCCAGTTGAACAAATATCCAAGGTTAAATCCCTCTTCCCCCCAAAACCTGTACAATCAGTGTATTTAGGCCAAATATTTGAATGACACATGTTTAAATCAATCACACAATCAAACAATATGAATTTAACCACAGTCATTAATAACAATTCGAATCATTCTATGATAAAAGAACAATGCCATTCATAAATAACAATTCGGTGTACAATGGGATGTACCTTACTTGCAGTGAACTCAGTGGACACATTCTTTCTAATTTCCTTGGGATCTGGTTTTAACCTGGTTGCCAAAATAAGAACGATCAGTCTTCTCAAATGAAGAAACCTGTTAGGAAGTTAATGTGATCACTATCCTGTCCACATGAAATTCAACAAGCAATACAACACATGAGTGACTGCCTTTAACCAATCCTGCTTCTACTGAAACCCATGAATGTTGCGAAAGTCCAGTTCCTCCTTACAGTTAATGCATATTTTCATAAATTCCTCATGTTTCATACTGTAGGCCAGATCCTCGGCTGGTGTAAATCATCATAGCTCTACAGGCTTCAAGAGAGCTAAGCATATTTTCATCAGCTGAGCATATAGTCCTATGTCCCTTGACTTTAAATACATTTCTGGTTTAGGGTTTAGTAATCCCATTTACATCAAGTGGGTAGCTAGCATAGAATGGAAGAGAGTAGAATGATCCTAGGAGGGATAGGCTGGAGGGATGGGAAGAGGAAGAAAAAAATTCAAACATTAAGGGGGCACAAGGGAGCTATCATTTGAGAGGAGATTTTATTTTTATATATATATAAAAATAGATCGAAAGATGTTTGATTCAGTCAGAACTATCAAGCTGTACGTGATGGCCTCTGCTGTTCAGGAAAGCATACCTATTCATGACTACAGTTAAGCACATTCTTAAGTACTTTCTTGAATCAGAGCCATTGTCAGCCTATGTAACTGCATGATGTAGCTACTCTTACTCTTGTCTTATCTCTCCATTTCTCTCCCTACGAGTTTTTAAACTCATGTGTTTTACACCTTGTCTTTAATGGGATTGAGAGCATGGCTATTCTATTGCAGTTGGTCCCCAGACCTGATTTTTGGTGCTACAGAAGAACAATCAGAACAATAATAGTAATAAAAATATATAATAAATACATCTATCCCTTTCTGGAATCTTTGCAAAGTGGCATTAACCTACTCTTGCCATTTAATAGGCCACACCCCTGCACTCTTTACAATGAATGCAGCATATTTTTTATTTCTTCAACTTGCATTTGCAATCTGTCCTGACATAATTTACACATTTACACATTTTACAGAGCAAAGCACAGTCATGCAATTTAATTCCAAAAAACATAAGCATAGGAGACTCGGCACACTAGATTAGCAAAGCATATGATAGAGTTTTGCCAATATGATATCAAAGGCACACGTTTGATTTGAATTTGTGTCAAAATGTACCTGCTGCTCTTCATTTCAAAATAGAAATGTGCTGATGTGTTAGCCCATATTCACACACATGGGGATTCTAATAGCTGAATATTGCATATGTAGACCAATGTCCTTTATGGAGGCATTTTCTTTCCCCTTTTCTTCCCCTATCCCAAAGCAGCTGGCATCCACATTATCGCCACAGAGAGGAAGCATGAGAGAAATATAGAGATCACTATTCAGGAAATGAAGTTCTGACCCATTTAGGGTCATCTGGGTTCTTCTACTGATCATTGCACTACAGTATTGAGCCATCATCCCAATTCTATTATTTCTTTTGAATAGGGATTTAATGCTCATAAATGGCGGAAGGTGAATGCTAGAGAATGAAAAGTGATCACTGCAGTAAAGGACAAATCAATAAAGGACCAAAGTGCTCTATTTATACAGAGGTCAAACTAAAGGGAGAGAAAATGTGTTCAAGACCTTCTCATGCAGTTTCACTAATAGAAATTATTATTAAATTCCCAAACTATTAAACTTGGATTTTCTTTGAAAAAAGAATGATTATGCAGATTTACTAAAGGAAGAATTGACAGTTACCTGTACCACGTACATTTAGTTCATTTTGGTTTAGAGTAATTTACAGAGAAAGCATTTGATTTAATTTTATGAGTTTTTAATTACGCCAAGATTGATAGCTGAAAATAGTCTTAGAAAACCAAAAACTGTCTTCTCGTATAAGTAAAAGGAAACTCAATCCCCAAAGAAGCAGTGAATTTAGCATTTTTCTTGGATTTTGGTTTTATTTATATATATAATTCACTAGGCATGAAACACCTTAATGTATCTGCTTTATTTCTTCTTTGATCTGATTTATATTGGAGGTTGTGTCATGAGTTAACATATTTGTAAGTCAACTGGCTAAATTCTGCTCTCCTTTATACTGGTAAAACAACATTGAATTCAATGGGGTTTCACTGGTAGAAAGGAGGGCAGAATTTAGCCCTTGGATGCAAGTCCAGGCCAAACTTCCTCAAAACTTGGCTGTTTCTGAGTCAGAAATTTTGGTTTAGGTTTAACTTTAGTACTAAGTCAATAAAAGAAAGATTCATTTCGTTTTAACCTACAGCAAATTTTGACTGGCTGGCCTTGAAAGAGACAGTTAACTTCACAAACTTACTAAATGTGACCATCTGGGAGAATGCAAATTTAGACAAATGTGAAATCTGTGGGTTGACACTTTTTGATAAGAACACTCCACACCATGAAAGCATTAAAAATACATTCAGATGACCTAGAGCATTTTAAGGCCTTTATTTTACAGCAAAATGCAGGGACCAAATTAATCACATACGTTTTCCCCAAGTAGCCCAGTGAAAGATACTGGTGTATTACAGTGCACAGTTTCATTCCTATTTAGTTTTCTGATTCTATCCCTCCTCATCTTAAGGCAGCTCATTCTGGGTTTTCTTTCACTGAAACTAAACCCGAGTGGAATCTGTGTCAAAACAACAACCTGCTGATCCCCAACTATGGAAACTCAACTGTGGAGTGTGTGGAAACTCATTTTTCCTCCTTCCTCTCTTTATGCCTTGCCCTTTCAAATCAAATAGTGGCTTGAAAAGAGTTTAAGTACTTTGCACGTGAACCTGTGAACCTTCATTGCAGTGAACAGCTTATATAAAGGCTCAGTTGAATAGAGGCTGCGGGATCAGGTCCTCATAGTCAGTAACAGGAGTCACATGTGCATTTACAGGCACATGTTCAGGTGTTTTACTTTTTGAACTACTTGTGCTCATCTGAACTTTGAGTAAAAAGAAATCCAAGGCTACTCGTAAACTTGGTTCCACATAGCAAAACATGTAGTGCTGCTACCAACCCTGGGCTGGCTCAGAAGTATTATCTAGTGGTGTAGTGATATTTATCTGTCAGTGAAGAGTTATTTCTTTAGTTCATGCACAATGGCTGTGTCTAGACTGGCAAGTTTTTCCACAAAATCAGATGATTTTGCGGAAAAACTTGCCAGCTGTCTACACTGGCCACTTGAATTTCCGGAAAAGCACTGACGATCTCATGTAAGATAGTCAGTGCTTTTCCAGAAATACTATGCTGCTCCCGTTTGGGCAAATGTCTTTTTCCGAAAGACTTTTGCGCAAAAGGGCCAGTGTAAACAGCACAGTAGTGTTTTCCGCAAAAAAGCCCCGATCTCGAAAATGGCGATCGGGGCTTTTTTGCGGAAAACCGCGTCTAGATCGGCCACGTACGCTTTTCCGCCAAAAGTGCTTTTGCGGAAAAGCATCCTGCCAATCTAGATGTGCTTTTCTGAAAATGCTTTAAACGGAAAACTTTTCCGTTAAAAGCATTTTCGGAAAATCATGCCAGTGTAGACGTAGCCAGTATGTTTTGGCATATCATATTCAGTTCTTTCTAGATATGGGATTGTGACTTATACTATACACTCACACAGCGCCACAGAGAGGGATAAGAACCTCTGTTCATTACTTGTATGGGTTAACCATGCTTTTGGTCTAGGCCTGCAGGAAAAAATGGGTTCTATGAGGGTACTGTGCACCCTGCCTGCCCTGAGCTGTGGGCAGGGATTGGGTAAAGCACATGATGCATTATAATTTGCTGTTGGCATAAGCAAACAAAAAATACTTACCTCTAATTGGTGTAAGAGAGGAGACCTGAGGAAATTGTGCATCAAAGGACAATGCCTCCGGGAGCTACTGCTGTGATGGTGTAATATATTCAGTGCCCGTAGCTGAGGGCTGTGACTAAAAACAGAATATAGCCCTCACACAACACTATCTTTTACCAGGAGGAGTTATCTTAGCCAGAAGAGCTGTTTAAAAAACATCAGCTAGCCAAATTCTATTTTTCTTGAGATGTTACTGATTTTTTTTTTTGGCAAAACACCTGATGGCTTTTATTTTCTATCTTGATACATGAAGGCAGGAGCCTGCAACCCATAGTCATGTGAATAATTCTCACTCACAATTAGTCTCATAGTATTAATTCTAAATACCTATATGAGTAGGAATTGCTTGACTAAGTTCTTATTTTGTACAGTGGTTACTGTAATGTAAGATATATAAGCAAATAGAGCACTCCAGAGTATGCATCAAGATCATAGCAGAAAGCAAAGCAGTAGTTGTTTAAAGCAACTTATTTCTTTGGAAACAAAATATTGCATCTTTCCACTCCAGAGGCAAGATCCTCAGCTGGTGGGAATCATCACAGCACAACTCACTTTCTCTTGTAATAGCTCTAGTAGCTTCAAGGGAACCTAGGACTCTTTACACCTGCGAGGGTCTGCCTGTGGCTTTCCGGTTGTTGACCAAATCATGTTCAGAGATATTCAGTCCACTGAAGTAAGAAAATAAAAAGAGGAGACAATGTATTGAATGTAATACATTAATGGTCTGGAGGCTTACAGGAAACCAGGGGGTTAGCACAAAAGTAAAGGCATGCACGTGACTATCTCTGTTTTAAAAAGTGACACAATGAACAGAAATATGAAGGTTTCTGAAAAGAGGGAAAACCTCCAGAGTAGGAGGTTGTCACTTTGAAAGAGTATCAGTCCAAAGTCTGTTTTTTCATAAACCTCCTTATTATGTCATCTACTTGAGGTTAGAGAATCATGCATTCAAAGACGCTGGTTTGTTCAGGTATCCTTTCCATGAAAACTAGTCTGTTAACAGCCCTATGCAGTGAAATGCACAATTCTAAACACTCCAGCTTCCTTCATCTGCACTTCATCAGATTAACATTAACATGAGATCAATAAATAGCATAATCAGTCTCAGCTTGTTTTAAGTGCCCAGAGAGATAATTGTCAGAACTCTTCTAGACTGACATTCTTTTACCCCAGCCATGCACAGCAAAAAGCACACCAAATATACTGAACTGACACTAAGTATAATGTTGCCCCTCATGAAGATGTGCACTTAGGACCAGATCCAAAACTCATTGAAACCAATGGGAATCTTTTCACTGATTTTAATGTACTTTGGAACAGTTCCTTAAGGACTGTTGAATTTTTATTGATGTTAAGAAATAGAGAAACTATAATATACAGTTTAAATTGTCCCTTTCTTCTGGGGTTCCAAGTACACACTATCTTTTCTGCATCTCTTGGAATTTCCTAAGGTATTTAGAGCTGGGACTATATTGTCTTGTGCCTTATGCTGCTGTGACCACATCATTAGTAAAAAACAGATAGTAATAATATATATTTCCAAGTCTGTAAAGAAAAAAAACCCATTCCCTAGGTCCTAGATTTTTAAAAGTAAAAAATGCTCCCACATCTGAAAGCTGAAATGATCTAATTTCTAGCACAAACAAAAAGTAAACATGGCTGAAATCAACACACTGAAAACAATCTGAGTGCAAAACTGAAACAAAAAAAATATAGATATACAAGTCTGATCAAATCTCGCATTAGTCAGCTTTACATTGAAAATAGTGCAGTCATACCAGTATCAAACTGAAGTGGTGAATCAGACCCTCTCTATGTCCCTTCCATAGCTATATCTAGCTACATTTGCTAGAGAAACCTGGGTTAGCTAGTTCTGAATAAACCGATTATTTTACCACGTACCAACATTGTGCTTTCTCCAATTAACAAAACTTACCAAAACAGTAACAGGAATGGTTTACAGAATAGAAGCAAAGCAGGTAAAACATTTCCTATATCCTTTCTTCCCCTCTTTTCATGTTTCCGCCAAACCTAGCATTTTGCAGTGTTTCAACAGACTAAAACAGAGTGGAGGGTTAGATTACAGAAGGAATGTGCTTTGCAACTGCCTTTTGAAAAGGAAAGAATAATTATATTCATATACCAGTTACAGCCAGTTTTTCAATGTTTTTTTTTCTTTTTTGATCTTTTAAATATTTTTGCCGGCACCACTTTCGCACAAATTGTAAGTTTTTCAAAGTCTTGTGCCACTCTGCCTAGAATGGTTTTAGTGAGCTCTTACTGCCCTGGGAGCTACCCCCCTCCCTCCCCAAAAAAGATTTCTTTTTCAGCCCCTTCATCTGTAACCTTTCTGCAAGTAAATGCTAATTGAAAAAGAAAGAACACCACTAATCTTGGAATTTAAATGCATTTAACAAAACCAATCTCAATCTAAATTGTTGTTTCACCATTCCCTTTTCCCCAACAGATGTCGAGAAACTGCAATTCCTATTAAGAACACTTGACTGTTTACTCAGCAAGAGAACTCCAGGCTCAAGCTGCATCAATCTAACTGCGTTTCAAGACGTCAGCCTCCTGAAAAGCGTAGACCGTTGGTTATTTTTAAATGTAATCTTCACATAAAAGAGTTGCTGCATTTTCCTTTTCACTTTGTCATCCCTTCTTTTTTTTTCTTTTTTTAATGATGGCATTAAACATAGATGTCCTGAATTTTTATGTTCCATTCCATTTAGGTTTCTTTCAAAGCGGTTTTATTTTATTTCATTTTTCCCCTTTCTGCATTCAGTGAGTGGAAATATTAGTGAAGATTTGTGAACATTATTGAGAGAGGAAAAACGAATGCCAGCAAATGTTATGTAGTAAAAATGTTAGGCATGAAAAGGACAAATGTGTTTTCTTACTGATCTTTACAGTAAGGTCCCTGTGGGCTTTGACCACAGAGCTGTGTAAAGTTATCTAAGCAGATAAAGGCGACTTTGTGTGGTTTTTCTGTTTTGTACCAGGGCGTCGCTAGTTAAACCGTGATCAGGAAAGCAATACGTTTTTTTTTTTGCCTTTATCGCTTCACACAATCCTGCAATTTGTAAGTATAAGCTTTATAATTTAAAAAAGGCTATCTGTTGAACTCAGGAAATGATGATGAAAAAGGGACATAGGCCCCAGTCCTGCAAAATCATATGCTTAAGTTTAAGCATGTGAGGCTATGTCTACACTACAGAGGTTTTTTTGGAAAAACAGCTGTTTTTCTGAAAAAACTTCACTTATGTCCAGAATGCAATCACATTCTTTTGAAAAAAAAATCAAAAGGACAGAGAGGTTTTTCTGACGTTGGTAAACTTCTTTCTACAAGGAAGAAGCCTTTCCCCAAAAGAGCTCTTTTGGAAAAAGGCGTGTGTGGACGGAGAAGAGGGAGTTCTTTTGAAAGAAGAAAGAGGAAAAAGCACAGGTGCCCCTGGTGGCCACTTTGTCCATAGTAATCACACCTTAAATGCAGACAGCATCCTCACTGAATGGATGCTATCTTTTGAACAAGCAGATTGCTTTTTTGATGCGCTTTGGCAGTGTGAACACAGTCTTTCAGAAGAAGTTTTTCCAGGCGATATCTTCCAGAAAAGCTTCTAAAAGAAGCCTGCGGTCTAGACATAGCCTGAGCAACCTCTCTGAAGTCAACTCATGGATTTAAAGCTAAGCATGTGTAAACATGTTTGCACCTGTGGGGCTTCAACTATTATAAGTCTGTAGATGGCCTGATACAATCTTAGTTTTACAGAGGAATAAATGTACAGTTTGGAAGTTACACTTACTGAGCACTTAACAGTCTAGAATAGATTTTCCCTATTTTCAGTTTTACTCACCAGATGATTATATGCAAAGGCTCAGCCCCTACAGTCCCTAAACAAGTGGTCCATGGGACCAAGAGTTGAAGGCCCAATTTGCTAGCAGTTGTGCTTGTGTACATTCATAATAACTCCACCAACTTGATGAATTTTGTACTAGGACAGCGAGCTTCAGTCCATAGTTCTGGGGATATTGTCAGAGAAGAAAGTATGTTAGCCTTTGAAAAGCGTCATATTCACAAAGCAGAACCAGCTCAGCATGCATAAGTGGAGGATCTCTGATCTTCTCAGCTTATTTGAGCACCTTTCTACTCGTGCTGGTGTAAGTGAGATGGTAGGGAGTCAGCACCTGGCAGGGTCAGGCCCAAATGAAAGTGAATTCAGTGCTGCAGCTCTATAAACCACCATGGTTTACTATTTCAATGCAAAGTAAAGAAAAAGATTTTGGAGGCTGCTGGACCTAAATTTTAAAGGAAATTGTCAAATAGTATAAGCCCCAAATATAATTTTAAAAATAAAATATTTAGTTAGTTTAAATCCATATACAAAGAACATACGAATGCTATCCTGGGGCAGACCAATGATCCATCCAGCCTAGTATCCTGTCTTCTGACAGTGGTTGGTGCCAGATAATTCAAAAGGAATGAAGAAAACAAGGCAATTGAGTAATCCATTCACTGTCATTGAGTCCCACCTCCAATTAGATGGAGGTTTGATAGACCTATCCTCCATGAACAAATCTAATTCATTTTTTAACCCAGTTATGCTTTTGGCTGTCTGGAAATAAGGCTGTCTCTATGCTGTAATTTCTTTAGTCACTTTTTCCCCAGCATTCATGATTTTACAAATCCCTTTCGTAGTCCCTCCTTGGTCATCTTTCCTCTCAAATGAACAGTCCCAGTCTTTTTAATATCTCCATACACAGAAGATTTTCCAGCTTCTAATAATTTTTTGCACTTCTCTGTGTCTTTCCTACTTCAAAAATATCTTTTTTTGAGATATGGAGACCAGAACTACATGCTGTACTCTAAATTGTGGACATATATATTTATAGAGTGGCATTTTTTAAAATTTCTGTCTTATTGGCTATCCCTTTCCTAATGATTCTTAACATTCTATTAACATTTTTGTCTGCACACTGAGCAGATATTTTCAGGGAATATTCTGAATAGCTCCAATTTTGAAAGGTGACATCTAATTTAGACCCCACCATTTTGTTTTCATTGTTGAAATCATGTTTCCACTATGCATTACTTTGCAATTATCAATATTATATTTCATATGCCACTTTGTCACCCAGTCACCTAGTTTTTTGAGATTCTGTGTTACCCTTTTTCAGTTCGCTTTGGACTTAACTACTCTGAGTCATTTTGGATCATTTGCAAATTCTGCCCCTTGACTGTTTATCCTCTTTTCTGGATCAAATATGAATATGCTGAACAGCACTAGAGCTGGTACAAATGATTAGGGAAATACTGCTAATTTATTGTCCACTAAGAAAACTGATTTAATCCCCTCTTTTATTTCCTATCATTTAACTATGTACTGAGCAATACCAAAGACCTTCCCCCTTATCGCAGTACTGCTTACTTTGCTTAAAAGCCTTTGGTATGGAATCTTGTCAAAGGCTTTCTGAAAGTCCAAGTTCATTATATCCTCTGAATCACCCTTGTCCACATGCTTTTTGACCACCTCAGAGATTTCTAACAGACTGGTGAGATATGATGTACCTTTACAAAAGCAGGGTTGACTCTTCTCCAATGTATCATGTTTGTGTGTGTAATAATTCTGTTCCTTACTATAGACTAAATCAGTTTGCCTGGTACTGATTAGGGATGTCAACGAGTAGTTGACTAGACTATTAACTGTTAAGCCTAGGCTTATGTGTTAATCTATTCGACTACTTGTATTCACCCCTCCCCCTTTGCTGCCTCTGTATCAGAGGGTATGTCTACACTACATCACTAATTCAAACTAACTTAATTTGAATTACTTAATTCGAACTAAGCTAATTCGAATTAGTGCATCTAGACCTAAAAACTAATTCGAAATAGTGTTTTGCTAATTTGAAATAGCATGTCCACATTGAGTGGACCCTGAACCGAAGTTAAGGCTGGCTGGAACCAGTGCAGGCAGGGCATCAGGTTAGGACTTAGAGTGTGGAGCTGCTGCCTCAGGTTAACCGAGGGCTGTGCTTAAAGGGACCCGACCCCCTATCTCGGACAGACAGTTCTCAGGTTTCTCTGCTTGCTGGTCTACCTTGCTGAGGGAGAGCAAAGCATTTGTGTCTCGGAGTGCTCTGCTTGCCCTCACTCGGGGCACCATGGCACTCTGCAACATGGAAGCAGATCTGCCCCCAGGGACTCTGCTGCATCTCGTGGACAAGTTGCCAGCAGCCTAGCTGCACTCTCTGCAAGCTGTCATCCAGGAGGACCATCAAGGGGCTGTCCGGATCCAGGGACCATGCAGGAGAGCTTCCACCCTGAGGAGAGCTAACAGTCTCCCCAGTCTGCCCCACCGGGGGCTTGTGCCCCATTCCTCCCTTTCCACCTTCCACTTCCCTAGCACCCCATTCCTAATGTCAAATAAAAGACACATATTTTCAAAAATAACAACTCTCTTTATTCAACACAACTGGAGAGGACGAATGAAACTGTGAGGAGACGGGGGATGGGAGGCAGGAGAGGGCAGGAGAGAGGGTGGGAGAGGGGAGGGGGAAACCTGGGAGGAGGGAGCTGGAAGGGGGAAGCAAGGGGAAGGAGGGATAGGGGAAACTTAGGGATCAGGGGTGGGGGTCTCGCCGGGCCAACTGCCTCACAGCATGGCGACCATCTGACCAGAGTCTACCCCTTTAAGGGCCCCAGGGCTGGGGGAGAGGAGAGGCGTTTTCCTGGTTTGGCCCAGAGTGGCCACCAGGGGGAACCTGGGAATGGCTAGCCTCCAGCCCTTAATTCAAACTACTTAATTCGAACTAGGCATTAGTCCTCGTAGAACGAGGCTTACCTAGTTCGAATTAAGTGCTCCGCTAGTTCAATTTAAATTCGCTATTAAAGTTAATTCGAACTAATGACTGTTAGTTCGAATTAACTTTGTAGTGTAGAAATACCCAGAGGTAGCAAGGAGTGGGGGAAGCAGGAGCCAGTTCCCCCCAGCACTAGTTCTGCAGTGCCACCTCCTTCTTCCCCCCTTCCCCCTCGCACTGCTGCTTCTATCAGAGGCAGTGG